ATTTTACAGGAGATTTGGGACAAGGACTGGAGGAGTGAACCTGGAGAGGTGAGTGTCCACCCTCCCATCCGCTCTCCTTCTTCCCAGGGGTAAAATGAGGACCTTGCTTCCCACCAAACTTTAACCCCTCTTCCTGTGATTTATTCCTACTAGGTGCTTGGGATTTCTCAAATTTATCTGCAAAAGTGGCAAGTTCTTTGACCATCTCTACCTTTTTATCCCATAAACACTGTTTCACATCATCACTAGACATATTCAGGAACTGTTCCTGAGCGACCAAATCACACATTCCTTCAAATACCTTTTCCCCTGATCCACTTATCCAGTAGATCTGTCATTTGGTTCACATAAGCCACATTACTTAATCTATCCCCTCTCTTAAAGCTTTTAAATGTTACTCTATAAATTTCAGGTGTAATCTGAAACCGTTTTAAAGCCCATGTCCTTAAATTTACCGTAATTGGAAGCATCTCCAATTGGCATCTTATTGAATATGTCCCAAGCTCTCCCAGTCAACTTTGCAACCAAAGTGGTCTTCTTTAGATCGTCAGGAATCACATGGAGCATACACAGCCTCTCAACAGTGATGAAGTATTCAACAATGTCCCCAGATTCACTATATGCTGGACACAACTGCTCCCACCTGTGGATTTTTGGAGAGGTGGAGCCCCCTGGTGGGGGGTTCTGTCTCCTCCACTCCATGATGACCAGTTCATGCTTCATTTCTTTGTCTTTCAGTTCCAGGACTATCTCGTGGTCAGCTTTCTGTCTGGCTGCTTCTGTGTCAATTTCCATCTGTTTTAATTCCATCCGTCTCTTATGCATTCAGTCATTTTCTTCTGCTTGCAACCTGTGGCGCTCCAACTTTTTGGTAACTTTGCTTTTACTCATTTTGCTGTTTTTCCTGTCCCTACTTCTCTTGCCTGGAATAAGCAAACAGAAAATAACAAACCAGTAACCACTTTGTCTGTTCTCTAGCCAACACCGTTAAAACTCACTTAAAATCACCTCTAGTGTCTAAGGGCAATAAGCTGGGTACGTTATCCTGCTTAACATTTGGAAAGATGAGAGTTCCAGTTGATGAACCTGCCAGTTAATAACTGCTGCTGGAAATACTAGACAGATTTAACTAATCAGGCCTTTGGAGAATTTATAAGGGGAATCCAGAAAGTTTGTAAATTGGGATTTTGCAGAAAAGTACAGGGCAAGTACAGGCCTGTATAGCCTTGGGCAAGTCACATCACCTGCTGTGCCTCCAGTTTCTCCTTTCAACTTTCCCCTCCTCTGGTCCCGGGGTAGCAAAGTGTGACAAGGGGGGATACCTCTGGCACAATTTGCTATGAATGTGACAGGGCATCACCCCAGAGCACCGCTTGAGAAAGTTCAGCGGCAACAAACCTTTATGGATGATTGATGCCCTGTCACACTTTTCAGAGTAACAGCCGTGTTCGTCTGTCTTTGCAAAAAGAAAAGGAGTACTTGTGGCACCTTAGAGACTAACCAATTTATTTGAGCATGAGCTTTCGTGAGCTACAGCTCACTTCATCAGATGCATACCGTGGAAACTGCAGCAGACTTTATATATACACAGAGAATATGAAACAATACCTCCTCCCACCCCACTGTCCTGCTGGTAATAGCTTATCTAAAGTGATCATCAAGTTGGGCCATTTCCAGCACAAATCCAGGTTTTCTCACCCCCCACCCCCCCCACACAAATTCACTCTCCTGCTGGTGCTAGCCCATCCAAAGTGACAACTCTTTACATAATCAAGTCGGGCTATTTCCTGCATAAATCCAGGTTCTCTCACATCCCCCCCCACCCCCATACACACACAAACTCACTCTCCTGCTGGTAATAGCTCATCTAAACTGACCACTCTCCAAGTTTAAATCCAAGTTAAACCAGAACATCTGGGGGGAGGAAAAAACAAGAGGAAACAGGCTACCTTGCATAATGACTTAGCCACTCCCAGTCTCTATTTAAGCCTAAATTAATAGTATCCAATTTGCAAATGAATTCCAATTCAGCAGTTTCTCGCTGGAGTCTGGATTTGAAGTTTTTTTGTTTTAAGATAGCGACCTTCATGTCTGTGATTGCGTGACCAGAGAGATTGAAGTATTCTCCGACTGGTTTATGAATGTTATAATTCTTGACATCTGATTTGTGTCCATTTATTCTTTTACGTAGAGACTGTCCAGTTAAACTTCAAATCCAGACTCCAGCGAGAAACTGCTGAATTGGAATTCATTTGCAAATTGGATACTATTAATTTAGGCTTAAATAGAGACTGGGAGTGGCTAAGTCATTATGCAAGGTAGCCTGTTTCCTCTTGTTTTTTCCTACCCCCCCCCCCCAGATGTTCTGGTTTAACTTGGATTTAAACTTGGAGAGTGGTCAGTTTGGATGAGCTATTACCAGCAGGAGAGTGAGTTTGTGTGTGTATGGGGGTGGGGGGGATGTGAGAAAACCTGGATTTGTGCAGGAAATAGCCCGACTTGATTATGTAAAGAGTTGTCACTTTGGATGGGCTAGCACCAGCAGGAGAGTGAATTTGTGTGGGGGGGTGGAGGGTGAGAAAACCTGGATTTGTGCTGGAAATGGCCCACCTGATGATCACTTTAGATAAGCTATTACCAGCAGGACAGTGGGGTGGGAGGAGGTATTGTTTCATATTCTCTGTGTATATATAAAGTCTGCTGCAGTTTCCACGGTATGCATCCGATGAAGTGAGCTGTAGCTCATGAAAGCTCATGCTCAAATAAATTGGTTAGTCTCTAAGGTGCCACAAGTACTCCTTTTCTTTTTAAATACTCAAAATGTGTGACACAGCTTTTGGAGGTGTATGTAGAACAGAGGTGGGCAAACTACGGCCCGTGGGCCACTTCCGGCCTGCGGGACCATCCTGACCTGCCCTTGAGCTCCTGGCCAGGGAGGCTAGCCCCCGGTCCCTCCCCTGCTGTCCCCCCTCCCCCATAGCTACGCTGCCGTGCAGGCAGTGCGGCTGGCTCTGGCCGGGCAGCGCAGCTGCTAGTCCTGCCACTCTGAGTGGCACGGTAAGGGGGCAGGGAGCAGGGTTGGATAAGGGGCAGAGGGTCCTGGGGGCAGTCAGGGGACAGGAAGCAGGGGGCAGTCGGATGGGGCAGAGGTTCTGTGGGGGGCGGTCAGGGAGCAGGGGGCTGTGGGATAGGCGTGGGAGTCCCGGGGGGCCTGTCGGGGGCAGGGGTGCGGATAGGAGTCGGGGCAGTCAGGGGACAGGGAGCAGGGGGGGTTGGATGCGTCGGGGGTTCTGAGGGGGGTGCAGTCAGGGGGCGGGAAGTGGGAGGGGGCGGATAGGGGGCGGGGGCCAGGCTGATTATGAAGGCACAGCCTTCCCTACCTGGCCCTCCATACAGTTTCACAACTCCGATGTGGCCCTCGGGCCAAAAAGTTGTCCCCCCCGATGTAGAATATTTCATTGAATGAAGTCTCGGCAGCTCCTCAGTAGGTTGTAGCTGATAGAGAGTTGCTGCCTGTCCAGGCATTGGGATGCCCTATGCCTTTACGGACACGGTCCTGGGAAGCTGAGCTGTCCTGTTGTGTGAGAGGGGAAATAAAAAAGCCCCTCTGCCCTCTCACCCCTCCCTGGAATGGGGCTTTGCCCTCAGGCCGTGCCTCCTCAACCCAGTTCGTAACCCTGGCTCCTGCCCCTTGTTCCTGATTTTGTGCCTCAGCCCCTCATCTTCCCCTGCCTCCAGCTGTCTGACCCCCTGCACAGTGAGTTTCTGCCCCCTGCACATCCCCCCACCCTGTGTAGGGGGACCAGACAGCAAGTGTGAAACATCGGGACAGGGGTAGAGGGTGATAGGAGTCTATATAAGAAAAAGACCCCAAAATTGGGACTGTCCCTATAAAATCGGGACATCTGGTCCCCCTACCCCTTTGTCCCCCGTTAGTCCCAGTGAATAGCAGGCAGCAGATTTTAAACCCAAGTTTAAGTGAGGGCAGAGCGAGGGCAGTGGCTTCCGCAGATGTTACCGAGCATGCTCAGTCCACCCAGGCCAAACAAGCAGCGGCACAGGTGTAGGGAGCCGGGCTGATGCTTCCTTAACAGGATACTGGTGGAGCCCAAATATAAACAGTTTCTATGCCCTGATGCTGACAAGTAACAGTCACCATGGACCCACCCCCGAGGTGGCGCCATCTCAGCACTGGATGAAGTAACCCCTGGTGCAGAGCATTTGTCATGGGGTTTGGGGACCCTCCTGGTGAAATCAGCGATGGGAATGGGCAGGGTTAACACAGTAATAGGGTGATTCTCGGACACCAGCCAGCAAGGCCCCGCGTACACCCTGAGCATCCTGTGTCCCTTCCAGGCCCTGTTGGTGGCAGGGAACGAGCACCTCTGCAGAGGCAGCTTCCCACCGCACCAGGTGGGTGAGGTCATTTCTTTTATCGGACCAGCGTCTGCGGGGGAAGAGACAAGTTGGTCCGATAAGAGGTATCACCTCCCCAACCTCGTCTCTCTAATACCCGGGACCCACAGGGCTCCAACTCCCACCTGGAGGCAGCCCTGTTTCAAGGCTCTCCCAAGCGTCACCCACTGACCCCTTGCCTGTGGAGGGGCTGACTCAGGGCAACGATTTCCCATCCCAACAAGGGCAGTCTGCTGCCGATAAAATGGCTGGGGAAATATCCCAAATGTGAGACGAATGGAAACGTGACCATCAGAGAGGAAATGGGGGGATTTGTGAGCAGAACCCCGAAGGGGTCAGTGAGGGGAGAGAAAGGGGGGAGTTAGTGGCGCGTATAGAGAATCACAGGGCGAGAAGGGACCGCAAGGGACATCCCTGCACTGCCTGGCGCAGGCGGCTGTTAGCAGCTGCAGGGCGGACCCAGCACAGGGCAGCGCCCCGGCTCCCTGGCACGGCGCGGGGCTCAGGGGGTTTCCCGGCCCGAGCAGCTCCCGTCACCGAGAGTCACAAGCACCCTGCCGGGGGCCCGCCGGGGGCAGGGCCAGGCCCGGGAAGGAGCCGCCCCTTCCTGTCCCCTTTGTGTTCGCAGCAGCGGAGCCATGGCCGGGGCCGGGAGCGCAGCGCGGAGGCTGCTGCAGCCCCGCAGCCCGCGGAGCAGCGCGGTGGGCCCGGGGGCAGCGCGGAGCGGGCAGGGCCGAGAGGCGGAGACACGCGTGGGGCGGACACGCTCCTGCCGGGAGGGGCCGGGCCTGGCTGCCTGGTTCGCCCCTGCCCGGGTCCCCGAGCTCCCCGCAGCCGGAGAGGGGCTGCCGGGCGAGCGTCCGGGGCGGCGCGGAGCGGAGCAGCCGCTGCGGCGGGGCCGGTGCGACCGAGCCCGGGAGTGGCCGGGCCAGGAGGGGCCCGGAGCGCTGCTCGGCTGCGGAGCTCGGCGCCCAGGCTGGGCCCGGGAACGGGGAGCTGGGGGTGGGTGTATCTGGGAGCAGGGGTGAGCTGCCAAAATCTTAACAACCGGTTCCCTCCTCCTCAGCCCACGGGGGTCATTGCCCACCCCGCCCCCACCCCCGGACTCCTGCCTCATCCAATACCCCACGCGTTCCTTGACCCCCCTCCCAGGACCCCTGCCCCATCCTCCTCTGTCGCCTGACTGCCCCCAGAACCGAGCAGGAGGGTCTCGTGGGCCACCGTAGTGGGTGCCCACCCCACCCCTAAGAGCCAGAGGCACCTGCCGGGGGCCGAGGTGTGGAGTCCCGGCGGTGCTGACCTGGGGCAGCTCCCAGGAAGCCTCCAGCAGGTCCCTCTGGCTCCTAGGGGCCGGGGAGCATAGCTGGGGGGGGAGCAGGGGGAGCGGCCGCTCCCCCCACTGATCACATCAAAAGTGGCGCCTTAGCGCTGACTCCATGGGTGCTCCGGGGCTGGAGCACCCACGGGGAAAATTTGGTGGGTGCAGAGCATGCACCGGCAGCTCCCTGTCCCACGCCCAGCCCCAGCTCGCCTCCGCTCCGCCTCCTCCCCTGAATGCGCCGCCCCACTCTGCCTCGCCCGTGCCCCCCCGGCTTCCCGTGATTCAGCTGTTCGGCGGGAAGCTGGGGAGGGCTGAGAAGCTGGTGACGGCTTCCCGCTCAGGCCGATGGTGGCGGAGGTGAGCTGGGGTGGGGAGTGGTTCCCCTGCGCCACCCCCCCCCACCGGGTTACCTGCTGCGGCGCGGGCGGCCCTCCTCATGCCCCCCCGCCCCTGCTCATCTCCACCTCCCTGGGCCTGAGTGCGAAGCCACCGCCTGCTTCTCAGCCCGCCCCGGCTTCCCGCGCAAACAGCTGATTCGTGGGAAGCCGGGGGGGCGGAGAAGCAGAGCGGGACGGCGCGTTCAGGGGCGGAGGTGGAGCGGAGGTGAGCCGGGGCTGGGGGTGGGGCAGGGAGCTGCCGGTGGGTGCTCTGCATCCACCGAATTTTCCCCTTGGGTGCTCCAAGGCTGGAGCACCCATGGAGTCGGCGCCTAAGGCGCCACTTTTGGCTGGTTACATTTAGAAGCCCTTTTAGAACCGGTTCTCCCTTGCGGAACAACCGGTTCTAAAAGGGCTTCTAAAATTTAACAACCGGTTCTAGCGAACCGGTGCGAACCGGCTCCAGCTCACCACTGTCTGGGGGTCAGAGCCGGGCTGTGAGGAAGGGCTGGGGCTGTTTGGAGTGTGTCAGTGTGTGGGGATCAGAGCTGGGGATTGGGGGATATTGGGGGTGTGTGTGTTTAGATCCAGCACTTGGGCAGGGTTGGGGGTGGCAGCTGAGGAAGTGGGGGGAATGTCTGAAGTTAATTGTTAGGGATGTGGGTGTGGCCGGGGGGATGTTCACCAAGGGGTCCTATGTTTTAGAGAGAAAACACGCTCCCCCTTTCACCAGCCCCTCTTGGATCTTCCTTGCTGTGGTTGAACTAGACCTGCCTGGAAAAAAACAGTCTAAGTGGATCCCAGGGACTCCGCTTCAGCATCTTCAGGGCAGGCTGGGCTTTGAAGTCTCGCAGTTGTGAGGCCATTTGTAGCAGTTTGTAACCCTCTCCCCTTCTTCTTCCAGATGGCACCAGAAGAGTGTCTGGCCCCTCTGCGAAAAGAGAGAGAAGTAGCCGAAGCCGAGGAGAAGCGGCAAAGTGAGGAGCTGCTGGTAAGTGCCCCCTGCCCCTCAGGTTTGCTTGGGCTCACAGTGCCCTGAGTGACATTGTGAACGCAGGGCCTATCCTGCCAGGAAACCATCCCCACTGGAGCCCAGGGAGCATGCAGGGTCAGGCAGGTGAGTAACATGATGTCCTTGGGGTGCAAGAAGCTGCTGTGCAGGAAAGTGTGAGTCTGTGTGTCAACCCAGAGACCCTGCCCACAGGCTGTCTGGATGTTACAGCTCCTTTATAGCAGTTAGGGGAGATGGGGAGGAAGGAGATGAAACGTGGGCTGCAGAGATGGAGAGTTTGGCCCAGGGCAATCTGATGAGATTTTTGGGGAGAAAAGTCTCTTCTGGTAGCGATGTACAACTCATCCCTGCCCTGATCCCTCCCTGGCCTAAATGAATTTCCCATCACCCACTGCAGGAGATCCTGTGTTCTGGTCAGGGTGGATAAAAATCAATGATTTTTTAATTATTTTTTTTTAAATTGGATTTTTTTGATAAAATGCTTTTTGAGGAAAAAACCTATCTAAAGATAGTTTTAATTAAGATACATTATAGCTCAAAGGTATCTCATCATGGAATAGGGATTATAAATTCTAATTCTATAGTATGAGACAATATATTCATATAATGTTTAAGAAAAGTTTTATAAATGAGTTCCAATAGTTCATGGATTAGGGACCCAATTTTATGGGGTTCCAGGGGCCCCTGTATAGATTATTTAGGTTAATCTTTCTATCTACCCAATGGGACTCAGTGCTCAGTCTCAAAGATACCATCACAGATGCTTAGTTTTGCAGTTCTCAAACTGTGGATTTGTGTCTCCAGAGATAATGTGCTTGTGAACAGCAAAAATGTTTTTAAATAAATAAATAATATATAGAGGTGAGAAATAGTTAAATAAAACAATTTAAATGTCTGTCTGGTGACATTCTCCTCCTAATACAGCATGGCAAGAAAATCCTTCAAATATTTAATGATTAACCAGTTGAATTTGGAGATAGTTCACTTCCCAATGACTTCATAAATATCTGCTTCAATTACCTTTGGTAAATGAAATAACCAAACAATCATTCATTTTCTGATATAGCTGTAAAACTGACGTGAAAAGTTTTCAAAATACATCACCTTAAAAATGTATAGTGTGTACCTTCTAAAAATGAAACCTACGTCTATCTCTGAGTTGTGAAGAATATGTATTAAGGTTACAACAACCAAAAAGAATGTACTTTTATGTAGAAATCCATGATTAAATCGAGTCTTCCTGACTACTGATTTAAATCATGATTTAAATGAATTTGATTTAAATCAAATCCACCCTGATTCTGGTAAATAACTCCTCCATCTGCAAGAGGCACATTTATGGTTCTCCCTTGTGACTGATCTGCCCTTTCTCTGTGATTGAAGAAACAGATGGAAGTCGAGAGGCAGAAGATCGTCTGGGAATGGAAGGAGCTGCAGGGGTTTCTGGAGGAGCAGGAGCAGCTGCTGCTGTCCCAGTTGGAAGAGCTAGAGAGAGCCATTGTCCAGAGAAGGGATCAGGGCCTCTGCAAACTTTCCAGAGAGATTTCTGTGGTCAGTGAGAGAGGAAGAGAGAAGGGGCAGCAGCCGCTGAGCCAATCCCTGCAGGTCAGACCATGTTATTGCAATGATAATATGCAGTGTTTCTTCAGGAGCATCTTAGCCCTCGACCCCAAAGCTCTTTGCAAAGGGGGGAGAGGGGGGTCAGGGCAAGGTCCCTATTTTACAATGGGGAAAGTGAGGCATGGGGGAGAGGGAGAGGGGCAGAGCTCTGACCAAGGTCACACAGTAAATGCCTTGTACATGTCTAAATGCATTTGGGCTTGAGTGTGACATCCCTTCCCTGCCATGCCAACGTCCTGAGCAATGGTCCTTCTAATTTTTTCCATCCATGTGTGGAATGAATTTTGTTTTGTGCACCGATATCGAGATAATGTGCGGATGTGCGCCACCAGTAGAAACAAAAAACCTTGATGTACTATATATTTTTAAAAAGTTACCATAGGGATAATTACTTCAGCTAGGACAGGTTAGGCATTTTAGAACTTACTACTCAAAGAATTAAATTTAAGCATAAGAGAGAAATAAAAATTATGCATTGCATAGACCAGTCAAAAAACTAAAATAACAGCACTTTGAAAGAATAAAATTATAGAGAATATATGTGCATTGCAGGAAGTACCAAGAAGTAACAACAACAATAACACAAGTATATGTTGGGAGGTGAGTGTGAAAGAGACAGTGTGTGAGAGGGTGAGAGAGAGCACCAGTGCAGGGGGGTCCCGGGAGCAGCTGGCCAGGAGCTCCAAGGCAGAGGGCAGGAGAAGCATGGCAGCGGGCAGAGGGGCACCTAAACACAAGTCGCTGGATGTGCGCGGCTCTACTAATCAAGTGTGCGGTACTTGATTGACTCTCGCATGGCCGCCCAGCTTAGAGGGAACGCTGGTACTGAGCGTAAGGCCCCACAACACCCCAGGTGAATGGGTTTAAGGAGTAGGGTGCTTGCGGGACTCTCAGCACTAGTGGGAATTTCACTTTCCAGGCAGAAGCATATTTTCTTCCTTGTAAAGTGCATGGGCAGAAACTTTCCCCGATGACGACGTCCCAGCAGGGATCCCTGGGGGGTGGCAGCTGCTCTCCGGACATGAATTTGAGTGTCTGAAAGTCTCCAAACACCCAAGACTCCAATGGTGACTGCCCTGCAGAGCAGGAGGTCTCCCCAGCCTTGGACACCCCACCTGACTGCATCTCCTTTCTCTCCCTCTCAGGGTGCTGGAAGCACTGGGAGCAGGTAAGTCCCTGGCTCCATTTCACTCTTCTCCTCACTCCTCCCCCTTCCCCCCCGGTGCTCAGTTATGCTTGGGAACTGCACTAAAGCTGGAGCTTCCCCCTGCCGTGTTCGTGCCCGTGACCACATCTCCACTAGTGGCTGCTTCACCAGGGGGAAGAATCTGTTACTATCTGACAGCTAATGAGGTCACACCAGCGCTGTCAGACGTATGGGCCAGACCCTGCCTGTCTGATCTGTTTATGTGGCCACATCACATATTCACACTGTGCAGAAACTCAGCTTTCAATTTTATAGTAAGTTTCTACTCTTCATGGTTGCAAAGAAACCCTCCCAAATGCAAATGGACACACTGTTGTCTGGCTGATGTAGCATCGGCCTAAAGCCGTGGCTCAGACGGCTGTGAACTCCCCCCGTCCTCCGTTAATCCTATTGGCGTGTCAACTGAAATGATTCCACTTTAATGTTAACATTCAATATTCCATGGCTGATCACTCTAGCAGGTGGAATGGGGAGGGGGTGGAAGTGAAGCCCTTTAGGGGTGGGAACAGGGAGTTTCTGTAGGAAGGACAGAACAGAGGGGAGATACAAAGACAAAAAAGAGAAATAGAGAAAGGAGGGTGGAAAGGAAGGGAAATAAAGAGTAGAAATAGCAGGAGCCCTAGCAGGTGTGGGAGGGGGTATGTTCCCACTGAGTGATACTAACTCAAAAGTTTATTTCCTATACAAAGGGTAGACTCTCACCTTGACCTTGGTATGTGGGTCTCCCATTGAGAGCAGGTGGTGTCCTGCCAGGAATGGAGCAGTGTACAGAGTCCTAAATTGATGTCATGGCCCACTGACCATAACAGGAAGTGGAATATGGCCATCTTCACCATATAAGCTGGACACCCCAGGGTTACGGCTTCTGTTGAAGGGTCAGAGCTCTTGGCATTAAAGGGCCCAGGCTCATTCCCTGCTGAAGACCTGGCCTCCATCTGGGGCCTCAGTGAGTATGAGAGACGCCCACTCTTTAGTCCATGTCTCCTCACTTTCCCCATAATCCCAGTGCCGGTGCCCCTTGTTACCGGAGTAACCCAGTGTGGGAGGTCACTCAGCTCGCCAGGCAAGGAGAGTGTCCCAGAGAAAGCTCCCAACCTGTCTCCATTCCTCCTCATGTCCTTTCTCTCTGGGCCCATGGAGAGCACAGGGCTGAGGGCAGGTGACTCACCAGAACCGTGATCATTTTAGGCTACAAAGCTCAGTTCCAGGTTTCCTGGAGTTTGGGGACTTCTGGGGCTGGGGCCCATTTCTCTTCCCTCCTGCTTTCCTTAGCAGGGAGGACAGGAAGTTTCAGAAGCCAGAGCCGGGGTTTGTGGAGCTGGAGAAGAGGCTCTGCGATTTCTCTCTGAAAAGTGCCATCCTGCAAGAGGTGCTGCAGGGATTCAAAGGTGAATTGCAGTCTGGGGTGGCATCTCCTCTGGTTAGATTGAATTGCCCTGGGGAGGAGTCGGGGATCTAGCAATGTTACTGATCCTGAGCTCCATTTCACAGTCCAGCTCAGCGAGTCACCTTTCCCCAGGGGAGTATCCTGTGGGGCTTGCTCTGTCTGCAGCGGTCTGTGTCACCATCTCATAGTAAACAGTAGTTACCTTAAAGGAACAACCCCGTGAATGCCAGGGCCTGAATTCTCACCTCTCCCATCCTCTCCTTCCCCTAGAGACTCTGCGACTGGAGCTGGGGAGTGACACAGGTACGTTTCTGTCTCTGATGGGCTATGCAGAGATTTCAGACCAATCACCATGTTAGTGTACCTGGAAGCTGTTGAACAGTGTGAAACAGGGTGAGCCTCGTGACTGCCCCATTCACTCCTGCTGTGGCATCTGAAGGGGATTCAAAGTAAATCCTGATCTTGGGTGTGTTTCCCTGTGGGGAGAGGAGCAACACTCTGACTGATGCGAAATAGGGTGAGACAAAGACGAAACATCCAGTCACTGAACAATCTGACAGCTTTAATGAGTGACTGAACATGGTCACATGGGGGCAGCTGAGTTTCAGGAATGAGGAGGGGGTGGAGCCCAGCTGTACCCTGAATAGAGACTGACCCTGAATGAGAGATGGGGCTGGTCTTCTGTGTTCAGACTGGCTGTGAAGGGGAAGAGAGCCCTAGATTGCATCTGGGATCATTGTGAATGAGAAGGGAGCTGCTAGAGTGCGTCAGTGTTTCTCACACTTTCCCCATTGGTGACCTCCCCCCCTTTTTTTTTTGGTCCAATCCCTTACGTTTACTGTGACAGTAAGAATAAAACGTGTATAAAAGCTGAGCCTACATGACTTGGATGTGTGTGTGTCTCATGAGGCTGACAGAGAATAGTTGACCTTGAAGTTTAAAAGTGGCAGGAAGTGGGAGAATGAGACTTTCTTTCCTTTAGATCGTAACAAAACAGATAATATCTGATTGTCGGTCGCAAGCCGCTTGGGGTTGTGAACCACTGCTTGAGAAACAGCAGACTAGATCATTCATTATCTTATATCCCTATTGGCTATGAATGGGAAGAGGGTATTACTGTGTGTATGGACCAACTGTGAATGAGCAGTTAGCAGCTATACAAGATATGGACTGAGCCAAAGGACAATGAAGTCCCATAAAACCCCCATTTCAAAAATCTTTTCCTTACTTTAGAATCCCAGCTGTGAAATCGGACAGCTTGCAGCTGGGCCCAGTGACCCTTTCCCTGGTGTGTCTGTGTCATAGCCAGAGAGACTGAAACCCAACCGGGGTTAGCAGAGATGAGGATGAAGCACAAAGATTGGATCCAAAATTTCATTAACACTTGTTGGATAGTGAAGGCCGCCATGAATAGACAGTAACCAAGTCACCTCGGTAGAGGGAGGGGAGAGAGAAACTGAGGAGAACTAAGTGGGGAGAGAGGTCACAAGCGCCCAGACCTACTCATATCCAGTTTCTGTCTCAGCACTGGACAGATTTTGTCCAGTCCCTGCCTCTGCCTGGATCCCACCCTGCCAGGGGAATGTGCTGCCCTCGGGGACCATGTCGGGTGTTAAAGGTTCTCCGTGGGTTTAGCCCTGGTGGGAAGGCTCGGGTCTGCACTGCAATAAAGCAACTGAGTATTTTGCCTGTAGGAGAGCCTAGAACATTTCTCTGCAGGGAAAGAGCCTGGGGGAACGTGCTGTGAAATTATCTAAAGCCAGTTCTGAAATCTCTCCAATCCCCCTTCTCACCCTGGCAGGCTGCAGAACAACATCCACGTTTCACTCCAGATGGGCCCAGCCTCCCAGGGGATGTGGAAGGGAAATGGCTGCTGTGGAGCTGGCTCAGGTAGGGATTATGAGAGAGTTGCTCATGAGTTCCCTCTGGACTGTGAGGGGCAGTAAACACATAGGAGATGGGAGCTTCTGGGGAGTTTAGTTTGGAGGTGGGAGGGGAAAGGAAATCCACAGGGTGGAGAAAAAGAGGAGGACAGAGTGTGACAAACCTGCTGGGACTTGTTTAACCTGAGGCTCACATTCTAGGAACAGATCCATTGGGGTTGAGGGAGGAAATTGGCCTATTTACGGAACAGGGAAACGACCACCTGGACAGGGCTGGGGAAATGATCAGACTGCCAGTGCTGAAGCTGGAACCTACTAACCAATGGCTCCTATGAGATATGAAGGGGGCACCCACCGGTTGGGCTTAGGGCAGGTGCCCCATCCCCTCACATCCAGCTGCTGGCAGTGAGGAGGGTATTTGGATTCCCCTCAAAGGGCTCCATCCCCTATATCGGTCTCTGACTCATAGGTGTGTGAGGCATGAGAATATCCTGCTCCCCTCTGTCTGCTGGGAGGGATGAGGGACTCGCTTTCTCCCCTCACCCTGATGCCTCCTCAGAGGGTGCAGGTCGGACTCTGCTGACTGCCTCCCAGAGCTTCCATTTGATTGGCCCTGCTTCCCCGTGAGTAGTGGGTTGTGACTGGGGTAGCAGGTGCTGAGTGAGGGACTCTTGTTTTTTTAGGGTCTGGTGACCTTCGAGGAGGTGGCTGTGTACTTCACCAGAGAAGAGTGGGCTCTGCTGGACCCTGCTCAGAGAGACCTCTACTGGGATGTCATGCAGGAGAACTATGAGACGGTGACCACGCTGGGTAAGGATTTCTTTCCCTTGGTTCTTAGAAGGGGAAATGAAGAGGTAAAGTTGACATCATCTCCATAATACAACCTTAACTCTTCCCAGTTTCAGCAACACCCTGACATGCCAGTGACACACACACTAGCTTTCTACCCTCTGCTGCTAGAGAATACTTTGGGAGCAGAGCACAGGAGCTGTATAGCACAAAATCTAACATCTTCTGTATGATAAGGCAAAACTCAGGTGAAGGTTTGTCATAAAGAACAGAAGCTGCCTACACCCCTGGCCAACACTTGAACACTGAGCCCACTCCACTCAAACCATCTCCAACTTGCAAAATGTTTCTACCTCTTTACCCCCAGCCCCTGAGAATTCCTTCTGAGCCATTGCCTTCGTGTACCCCTGTCAGGGTTCCCTCCCCACTCTGAACTCTGGGGTACAGATGTGGGGACCCACATGAAAGACCCCCTAAACTTATTTCTACCAGCTTAGGTTAAAACTTCCCCAAGACACAAATCTCTATTTGTCCTTGGACGGACGGTACGCTGCCACCACCAAGTAATTTAGACAATTTAGACATTTAGACATAAATTTAGTAATTTAGGTTCAGGGAAAGGACCACTTGGAGTTCCTATTCCCCCAGAATATCCCACCAAGCCCTTACACCCCCTTTCCTGGGGAGGCTTGAGCATAATATCCTAACCAAATGGTTACAAGTGATCACAGACCCAAACCCCTGGGTCTTGAGGATGCTGAAAATCAATCAGGTTCTTAAAAGAAGAGTTTTATTTAAAGAAACGGTAAAAGAATCACCTCTGTAAAATCAGGATGGAAGATAACTTTACAGGGTAACAAAAGATTCAAAATCACAGAGGAACTCCCTCTAGGCTTAGTTTCAAAGTTACAAAAAACAGGAATAAACCTCCCTATAGCAAAGGGAAAATTCACAAGCTAAAACAAAAGATATCCTAACACGCCTTGCCTGGCTTTACTTACTATTTTTGTAATATTAGGGACTCGCTCAGGATTGTTTGGAGGAGATGGATTTCTGCCTGGCCCTCTCAGTCCCAAGAGAAAACACACAAACAAAGAGCACAAACAAAGTCTCTTCACATACACACACACACCCCCGATTGAAAGTATCTTCTTTCCCCATTGGTCCTTTTGGTCAGGTGCCAACCAGGTTATTTGAGCTTCTTAACCCCTTACAAGTAAGGAGGAATTCTAGGCTACCCTTAGCTGTATGGTTATGACAACCCCTAACTGAGCCCTGGACAGAACTGGCATGTACACCACCGGAGTGCTGTCAACCCTCATGGCAAGAACACACCCTTGTGCACATTTGCTGACACAGCCTGCAACACATCACTGAAATGAGGCAAACTTGGTCCTTCAAGGTTCACATGCACCTCTCTTCATATCACAGTCACAGCTCTGCAAAGCTGCTCCAACTAATTCCTCCACCGTCCAATTACAGCTACAGCTGACAGAGTGCATGCAGATCAGTGCTGGTATTCCAGTCTGTGGAACACAACACAAACAATGTCATGTTCTTTTAGTCCTTCCTCAGAGCTATTATAGATTCATACATTAAAAGGCCAGAAGTCCGGTCATGTAATCAGACCTCCTGTACAACAGTTACTGCTGTATTGGCCACAGCATGTCTCCTAGAGACAGCTAAATACTGTGAGAGCTGGAAAACATATTCTCAACTATACATATTTGGAAAACATCATCCGAACTATACATATAAAATTATGGGGTCTAAATTAGCTGTTACCACTCAAGAAAGAGATCTTGGAGTCATTGTGGATAGTTCTCTGAAGACATCCACTCAGTGTGCAGCGGCAGTCAAAAAAGCCAACAGAATACTGGGAATCATTAAGAAAGGGATAGATAATAGGACACAAAATATCATGTTGCCTCTATAAAAATCCATGTTACGCCCACATCTTGAATACTGTGTGCAGATGTGGTCGCCCCATCTTAAAAAAGATATACTGGAATTGGAAAAAGTTCAGAAAAGGGCAACAAAAATGATTAGGGGTATGGAATGGCTTGGAATGGAGAGATTAATAATGGAATGGAGAGATTAATAAAACTGGGACTTTTCATCTTGGAAAAGAGACAACTAAGGGGGGATATGCAAAATGTGTATAAAATCATGAGTGGTGTGGAGAAAGAATGGGTGTCCTAGTGAGTGACAGAGCTAGCTACACCTCTGTCCCCTTCCCAGTATCTCTAAGTGGCCCCCTCAGCAAGTTGTCAGCCTCATGCCTTTCCGTCTCCTGGAGTGGATTTCTGCAGTTCTCCCTCTCCTCAACCGGGCCCCGGGCTACCATACCCGGCATACCCGCTGTGCTTACCCCACAGATCAGGCTGAGTGCAGACACCTTTAGGAGCCTGAGATCAGTGGTGTACAGTGACAAACGCTCCTTTGGTGTGCAGAAGGCTGTTTTATTTTGCAGTAGGAACTAGTTGAGGTAACCTCAGCACCATTAGCAATTATCGTTGAGAACTCCCATGGAGTTCTTGAGAATTATCCCATGGAGGACAGGTGAGGTCCCAGAGAACTGGTGAAGGGCAAACATTGTTCCCCTTGTTACAGATACTTAAAGAGGCTATGTCTACACTTCACGTTTGGCAGTAAAACTTTTGTCGGTCAGGTGTGTGAAAAATACACCCCCTTACCGACCAAAGTTTTACCGACAAAAAGCGCCGGGGGGGACAGCGCTTTGTCTGTGAGAGACACGCTCCTGCCAACAAAGCTGCTGCCCCTTGTTGAGGTTGGTTTTATTTTACCAGCAGGAGAGCTCTACATGGGAGACCTTACAGTGGCACAGCTGGTTGAAAGATCATATTCAATCTTAATCTGCACCAAGGGCAATTTAGGTTTACCATTTGGGAAAAACCTGTAACTACAAGGGTAGCTAAGCTCTGAAACAAGAGTCCAAGGTAGATTGTGGAATCCCCGTGATTGGAAGCTTTTCAGAATAGCTTGGACCAGTGGTTCTCAACCTGTTTACCATCGTGGGCCGCATAGGCAGCTCTTTGTGTTATGTGGGTTGCATCCGCACAATATATATACTACCTCTATGGCCCTGAGGATGTCACATGGGCTCCAGCTGTGTGCTGATTGGGCCACAAACGGCCTGGGAACTGCAGGTTGAGAACCACTGGCTTAAACAAATACCTATCAGCGATGGTCTAGGTGTACTTGGTCCTGCCTCAGTGCATGGGCTGCATTAAATGACCTCTTGAAGTCCCTTTCCGCCCTGCGTTTCCATGGTTCTGTCACTTTATAACCTTCACCATACACTGGGGGATTTTCGTACTCCTTTCCATTACATCTGACTCACTATATTCCCTAACTCTCAGCATGTGCTTTCCTGATAACTAACACCCCTGGCATACCACACACAGTGATATCCCCTTAACTGCGCTGAGCTCCGCCAGCCCATTCTCGCCAGCCCCAGTTTCCTTGTGACAGTCTCATAGCCCTTGGGTCTCTCTGTCAGTAGGAATCAGTTCCAAGGTGATTTCCCCATGGCTTTCTATGATATGGAGTTACTGGGTTTTAGGAGCCCCTTTGATCAGGAATGTCTGGAGCAGAGCGGTGGAGAGTTTATCCCCTTATAGGCAGAGTGTCTGGCACCTTACCTGGACAGCTAGTTCCAGAATTTCAGTGCTTTAAAACAAGTAGGGGTTAAAAAAGGCCATGCTCTATGTGACACGTGTCCCATGAATTCATCTGATCTCACTTGTTTTCCTTCATCTGAGCAGGGTTACCAGTTTCCAAACCTGAGGTGATGTCCCAGCTGGAACGAGGGGAAGAGCTGTGGGTCTCAGATCTCCAGGGCTCTGAGGAAAGAGAGCTTCTGAGAGAAACCTGCACAGGTGAGGAGTCATTAGAGCAACTCAGATACTGTCTGGGCCTGAAGAAAACAGCTGGAATTCCCTATCCAGCCCTTGAGAGCTCTTTGAGTTCTGGGTTGTCCCCCAGCAGGTGTCATGTCCTCAGGGCAGATAATCGCTCATGGCTTCCTTCCCATCCTGAGCGACTCCTGGCAATAGCTCCCTTCCTAACCTCCCTTCATGCTGAGCGTTTGGATGGGTTATGGAGTCAGAATTGATCCCTTCCTCTTTCCCCTTTGGGGAAGGGTTTGGGGAAATTCATTTTATGATATTTCCCTCTTCTCTCCAGCACTTACCCTTGGTTTCCTCTCCCCTTTTCCATTCCTGCTTCTGAGGTTTCTCTCTGTGTCTCAGGAGCTGGTGGGATGGTGAGTGAGAACGGGGAGCAGAATCCACAGCAGGAAGATGCTGAACATGTGGAACCGTGCTGGGAAGTATCACAAAGAACGAAAGGGGATGTGTCCAGGAGTCACGAGAAGAGGCAGCAGGGAAACCAACCAGGAGAGGAAATGGGCAAATCCATCAATTGTGAGGAAAATCACAAGGACCTCCAGGAAACCACAGCCCAGCAGAGAATCCTCATGGGAAAGAGGAAACACATTTGCCCTGAGTGCGGGAGAAACTTCAGTAGACGCTCACACCTCATTCACCATGAGCGAATCCACACGGGAGAGAGACCCTATGAATGCTGTGAGTGTGGGAAAAACTTCACTCGGCGCTCGGACCTTATTAGACACCAGAAAACCCACACAGACGAGAGCCCCTATGAATGTTGTGAGTGTGGAAAAGCCTTCATTTACTGCTCAGACCTGAGGAGACATCAGAGGATCCACAGGAGACAGAGACCCTATGAATGCTGTGAGTGCAGGAAAAGCTTCCATTGGAGTCGCGCCTTATTTATAAACAGAGAATCCACCAGGGAGATAAAAACCATAAAATCCTTGTTTAGGGCTGGCAAAACATACATTTTTTCTTTAATATTTTTGGTACTTCCCACACGTGGCCTTTAAGGCTGTTAGTGCCGTTTACGTCACTGTGGTCTCAGCTCCCCCAGGTGAGTTGTGTGGTTCTGCTTTTTGCAGCTACCCCTTTTGGGGTGAATCCCCAAAGACCCTTTCTGGTTTGTTCTATGAGTCGGGGGAGTATGAGTCCCTCTAAGTAGGAATGTGCATCAGCCCCAGGTGTTGGGAACACAAATGACCTCGGTTAGCTGCATTATGTTAAAATCTATGTGGGCCTTGTCTGCATTAGCATTTTTTGCAGTTAGCCAGCTTGAGTGAGCTATCTAGATGTATCTAGATGTAATCACAACTCTGTTTTCTTGCGCTGACATGACCCAAGTACAATAGTCTGGGTAGCTAACATGTTTTCCCTCAACCTGTCCTAACCTCCCTGACTTTTCCTAGTCTAGACAAATCATTATCATGATGCTAAAACTTTTGTAAATAACACAACACAATAATAAGGAGAGCGCTGAGTGAATCAGGTTTCAGTGGATCAGAGGAAAATGCAACGTGAAAATCTGTGGTTCTCATTCTGAGACATCAGATGTAACATGCTCTAGAATCTCATTCTATCTGAAATGGAAAATGTCTTATACCTCTGTGAGATGTAGATTTTTCTCTTTCCTGAAGGCTGTTTGGTCACACAACTGGCAGAATGAAAAGGAGGACTTGTGGCACCTTAGAGGCTAACCAATTTATTTGAGCATGAGCTTTCGTGAGCTACAGCTCACTTCTGTAGCTCACGAAAGCTCATGCTCAAATAAATTGGTTCGTGTCTAAGGTGCCCCAAGTCCTCCTTTTTGCGAATACAGACTAACACGGCTGCTACTCTGAAAACTGGCAGAATGTAGTTCAGATTTATTGGGGACTTTGATTCAGATGACCATTTGCTTAAATAGTCATTTCTCCCTTTACTTTTGCTTCTTCCTCACCCCTCCAAGGTTTCATGGGGAAAGTTCAAATGCAGCTCAGTCAACTGGAGAAAATACTCCCAGTTCTGGGATATGCTACCAAGGAAACAAGGTGTGGTTTTAAATCTCTAGTCTGAGATGGTGAATGTCTGCACACCCCACACTCTGCAACTAATGGGATATAATCACAGCTTTGTTCAGTTATTTAGGTCAGTATTATCTCAGATAACCTGGGGAGAGAGTTCCACCATAAGTGACTTTGAACTAGGCAAAATGCTCATGTATTTGGTTCCCAAAACAGTTGTAATCAAGGCAATACTGGAGGTTACCAGGTACTAGCTGAGATAAATGCCAAGTGACTGAGGTAAGTCAGGGGGCAATAAACGGCGTAGTTTCATCTTCGATGTGTTTAAAAGGTTGTAAAACAAGGAGGCTTCATAAAAAGGTTCTTTTGGGGGGAGACCTGGGGGGGAATCTAGGGAACTCCTTGTTCAAATAACCCCAAATTTGAACCACTAACTATGCCCTGCATGCCCATAGAGAATAGCAAATGCCAAGACAATCTGAGCACACACGTGGATTTCAGAGCTGTTAGATCAGTCAACGTTTAAACTGAAAGCAGTGCTGACCATAAGAGTGTCCAAGCTGGCGCTCTGCTGTAATCACTTCCCAAATGCATGGAGCATGTGGGAGTCAGCTGGGCCCATCCAGTGATAAAAGACAGTGTGACGTTCCTATCAGCGGTCCTTGGCAAAAGGGGGAGCAGGGAGCTGTGGAGGGGATATATTGATGGGCTGCTGGTGACCCTGCAGTACCACGCAGCAGGGAGGGCTGAGGGTAGTGGGAAGAAGGGGAGTGGGTGTCCTAGTGAGTCACAGGGCTAGCTTTATCTCTGTCCCCTTCCCAGTATGTCTGAGCCCCCCCACCCCCCAAGGTGTGAGCCTCATGCCTTTCCATCTCTTGGAGTGGGTTTCTGCCATAGGTGGAGTTTGAGGGGGGAGGGGTCTGGGAGGGCATTGCCCCCCCACCCCCCAAAAAAACTGCAAGCCGCAGGCAGGCACCCTGAGTGTGCAATGCGATGAGTCCCGCAGAGGAGACAGGAGATGTGCTGCTCCCAGCTTGTACCCCTGAGACAGGGAGTCAGAATTTTGTTTATAAACAGAGTGATTAACAGGTGATTAAGATAAGAAAGGGCTGTTAGAATGTTTCCTAAAGTTAAATGATCTGTTCCAAACTTGGTGAACTGCAAAAAGCAAGTAGATTAAGGCTTTGTCTACACTGGAACTTCGCCTGCAAAACTTTTGTCATTCAGGGGTGTTAATCCCTTCCCCCGCGCACCCCCCTCCTTCCCCCCGAATAACAGAAGTTTTACCAATGAAAAGATGCTGGTGTGAACAGCGCTTTGTCGTCCTGCGGACAAAGCTGCTTCCACTCATGAGGGGTGAATGTTTTTTGTTGTCGGGAGAGCTTTCTCCTGCTGACAAATAGCAGCTACACTGCATGGCTTTTAGCTAAAAGCTGTGTGGTGTAGACAAAGTCTAAATGATAGAAAGTAATTATAGATTTGGAGAACTGATTTTTTAGACAAAGAAGATGCAGTAGATCTAATCTGCCTGGATGTCAGTAAGGCATTTGATATGAGAAATTATTCATATATTCACCTTCTGATGAGGTTCAACAAGGACAAGTGCAGAGTCCTGCACTTAGGACGGAAGAATCCCATGCACCGCTACGGACTAGGGACCGAATGGCTTGGCAGCAGTTCTGCAGAAAAGGACCTAGGGGTTACAGTGGACGAGAAGCTGGATATGAGTCAACAGTGTGCCCTTGTTGCCAAGAAGGCCAATGGCATTTTGGGATGTATACGTAGGGGCATTGCCAGCAGATCGAGGGACGTGATCGTTCCCCTCTATTTGACGTTGGTGAGGCCTCATCTGGAGTACTGTGTCCAGTTTTGGGCCCCACACTACAAGAAGGATGTGGAAAAATTGGAAAGAGTCCAGTGGAGGGCAACAAAAATGATTAGGGGACTGAATCACATGATTTATGAGGAGAGGCTGCGGGAACTGGGATTGTTTAGTCTGCGGAAGAGAAGAATGAGGTGGGATTTGATAGCTGCTTTCAACTACCTGAAAGGGGGTTCCAAAGAGGATGGCTCTAGACTGTTCTCAGTGGTAGCTGATGACAGAACAAGGAGTAATGGTCTCAAGTTGCAGTGGGGGAGGTTTAGGTTGGATATTAGGAAAAACTTTTTCACTAGCAGGGTGGTGAAACACTGGAATGCGTTATCTAGGGAGGTGGTGGAATTTCCTTCCTTAGATATTTTTAAGGTCAGGCGTGACAAAGCCCTGGCTGGGATGATTTAGTCGGGGATCGGTCCTGCTTTGAGCAGGGGGTTGGACTAGATGACCTCCTGAGGTCCCTTCCAACCCTGATATTCTATGATTCTATGATTAGTTAAATTGGAGAAGGTGGGAATTAATATGAGAACTGAAAGGTGGATAAGGAACTGGTTAAAGGGAAGACTACAACATGTCATACTAAAAGGTGAACTGTCAGGCTGGAGGGAGGTTACTAGTGGAGTTCCTCAGAGATCGGTCTTGGCACCACTATTATTTAACATTTTTATTTCTACCTTGGCACAAAAAGTGGGAGTGTGCTAATAAAATTCGCAGATGACACAAAATTTGGGAGGTATTGCCAATATGGAGAACTGGAATATCATACAAGAAGATCTGGATGACCTTGTAAACTGGAGTAATAGAAATGCGATGATATTTAATATGGAAAAGTGCAAGGTCAAGTATTTAGGGACTAACAACAAGAATTTTTGCGATAAGGTGGGGACTTATCAATTGGAAGTGACAGTGGAGGAGAAAAGGCTGGGTGTATTGGTTAATCACAGGATGACTATGAGCCATGAATGTGATGTGGCTGTGAAAAAGGCTAATGCAGTCCTAGGATCTATCAGGCGAGGTATTTCCAGTAGAGGAGGGAAGTGTTACTACCATTATAAAAGGCACTGGTGAGATCTTATCTGGAGTACTGTGCAATTTTGATCTCTCATATTTAAGAAAGATGAAATCAAATGGGAACAGGTGCAGAGAAGGGCTACTAGGATGATCTGAGAAATGGAAAACCTACCTTATGAGAGGAGACTCAAAGAGCTTTGCTTGTTTAGTCTAACCAATAGAAGGCTGAGGGGAGATATGATTACTCTGTATAAATACATCAGAGAGGGATAAATACCGGGGAAGGAGAGAAGTTATTTAAGTGAAGCACCAATGTGGACCCCAGAACAAATGGATATAAACTGTCCATCAGCAAGATTAGGCTTGAAATTAAGTGAACGTTTCTAACCATCAGAGGAGTGCAGTTCTGGAGCAGCCTCCCAAGGGGAGCAGTGGGGACATAAAAAACAAACTGGCTTCAAGAATGAGCTTGATAAGTTTATGGAGGGGATGGTATGACAGGACTGCCTACAATGGCGTGTGGCCCATTGGCAACTGCCTGTAATAAAAATCCCCAATGGCTGGAGACAGTTACTACAGAGAATTCTCTCCCAGGTATCTTCCTGGTGTATCTTGCCCACATGCTCAGGGTCTAACTGATCACCATATTAGTGGTTGGGAAGGAATTTTCTCCTGGGACAGATTGGCAGAGACCGTGGGGGGGATTTTGCTTCCTCTGCAGCATGGGGTGTTGGTCACGTGCAGGTTTAAACTAGTTTAAATTATTAATTATTTTTAACTTGCTGTCTTTAAACCACAAATTGAGGACTTCAGTAACTCAGCCAGAGGTGAGGGGTCTATTACAGGAGTGGGTGAGTGAGGTTCTGTGGCCTGTAAGTGCAGGGGTTCAGACTAGATGATCATGATGGTCCCTTCCGACTTCAGTAAGCGTATCTGAGTAAGAATATACATTACAATTTTAAAGCCAACCAGTGTCCCATAACTGACTTGCCACAAGATGTCAGAACATGTTAGTATTAGAGCTGAGTGGGTCTAATATTTATTTAATTTTCTTTCTAGATATAGGAATTAGATCCAGTGCTCCTATCAGAGATTTCTAAGTTATTATCTGCAAAAATACCAGAGTTTTCAGTTGCCTAAGTAGCCTCTGGAATCACGGTTAAAATTACACCTTTCCCCCTCTACCCCCGCAATCTGAAATGGCGCCCCTGTGGCAGGCACAGAATTGACCCCCTCTCCCCCCACCGCACGGCCCTGTTGGCCTGAATAGAGCCTTCCCCCAGATATAGAAGTCAAATTACGCCTATGGTTTCTGCAGTTCTCCCTCTCCTTGACCAGGCCCTGGGTCAGCATACCCTGCGTACCAGCTGTACTAACCCCACAGGTCAGGCTGAGTGCAGACACCATTGGGAGCCTGGGATCAGTGGTGTAAAGAGACAAACATGGTGTTCAGAAGGCTGTTTTATTTTGCGGTGGGTAAAAAGCATTTTAAAATAACAGTCTTCATGCCTCTGCGTACGATGGTCAGCGAGGCAGGTCTAAGTTCTTCAGATACCCTAGTGGGATCGTCTTGTCTCTCTCTTCCCCCAAACTGTCACCAGAACACCTGTGCGCCCCCCCTCCCCCCAAGGGAGTCCCTTTTTAAACTGCTCTAGTCAGTTTGATCTTCTGGTCCTGTTCGTCTAAGCCAAGTCTGTACAATCGCTGGAGCTAGGAGGTATAATACTCAAAGCTAATCATTCAGACATTGTCTCTTAACAGTCCTTAAGGGTTTACCAAGGTGTGACTCCTCTTGAGCCAGGCTGCTTCCCTTTCTGCTTCTTTTCCTGCCAGCCCCCTATTGAAGTAAACCAAAGTGTTCATGCAGTAAATATCCCAGTATCCAGGACAACGGACATCATGTTATTACGGAGTCACTCCAGCTCCACCACAGGGGGCTTGGGGATCTAGGACTAAGGGCTTGTCTACTGTGAATGCTACAGTAGCACGTCAGTGTAGCCATGAACTAGAGGGATGGGAGGGATTCTCCCATTACCGTAGTCAATCCACCTCCCCAAGTCGTGCTAACTAGGGGTTTCTGGAAGAATTCTCCCATTGACCTAGCGCTGTCTGAACTGGGGGTGAAGTCAGCTTAATTGTGTCACTTAGGGGCGTGGATTTTTTCACCGCTAAAGAGCAATGGGTCGGCTGAATTTGTGAATGGCCTAAGGGACACCAGGTTAAGTGGGGATGGTGTGGTTAGTGGGCGGGAGGGAAGTGTGGTTTGGGGATCTAGAGCCTGTTGTGAGAGAATCCCTGCCCTGTCCCCATTGGTGGAGACCATGCACTCCATTCTGACCAGAGTCAGAATTCTGACCAGAGTCCATTTTCAGTTCACATATTTTCAAATATGATGATTCTCATTCTTCTCTCCACTGTTCAGGGCCTAACTCCCTCCCACCGTCTTCCCTACAAACTGTGACCACAGCCTCTGTTCCTCAGTCCTCATGAGGTGATCCCTTCCCTGGCATAAATGTGCATTTGCTTGGTGACATCATAGGTTGGTAATGAAACTTCTGGGGACTTGGAGGGTCCTGCTCCCCCCTCCCTATCTGTAGTAGCCACAGTCTCTCTTCCTCCAGGCTCCTTGGATCTCTGAGTCGGTCCCTGATGAGATCCCATGGTCTTATTCTTACTTTTCCAGAGGAATTAGTCTGTTGCTACTGAGTTACAATCATATCTAATTCCCCAATCTCATCCTAGGTACTTAAGGAACTAGCTGAGGCAATCTCAGCACCATTAGCAAGTATCGTTGAGAACTCCTGGAGGACTGCTGAAGGGCAAACATTGTTCCCCATTTTAAAGATAGGTACTAAGGAGACCTGGGGAGTTATAGACCAGTGAACCCAACTTCTATACCTGGAAAGGTACCGGAACCTGTTGTTAAACAATCGGTTTGTAGACACCTGGAGGATAATAGAGTTATAAAGAATACTCCGTATGGATTTATCCAGAACAAATCATGCCAAACGAACCTGATTTCCTACTTTGACAGAGATATTGGCCTAGGATAATACAGAGAAGCAGCAGATTTGCTATATCTTCATTTTAGTACATCCTTTGACACAGTCCCACGTGCCATTCTCATAGGGAAATGGGGTCTAGATTAAATTATTATAAAGTGAGTGCACAAAGCTGGTTGAAAGATCATACACAATCTGCAGCAAGGGCGATTTAGGTTAGATATTAGGGAAAAATTTGTAAGTGCAAAGGTAGTTGAGCTCTGGAATATACTTCAAAAGGAGGTTGTGGAATCCCCATCATTGGAAGTTTTTAAGAACAGTTTAGACAAATACCTGTCAGGGATTGTCAAGGTGTACTTGGTCCTGCCTTAGTGCATGGGCTGGATTAAATGATCTTCCTGTCTTACATTTCTATGGTTCTATCATTCTGTAACTTTCTCCATACACTGGGGGATTTTCGTACTCCTTTCCATTACACCTGACCTGCTATATTCCCTAACTCCTCAGTATGTGCTTTCCTGATATCCCACACCCCTGACATCCCACACACAGTGATATTCCCGTCTCCTTCCTATTCCTTACTGTGCTGAGCCCCAGCAGCCCGTTTCCCTGACACTCTCATTTTCCTTGGGTCTCTATGGTAGGAAGCAGTTCCAAGGTGATTTCCCCATGGCTTTCGGTGATGTGGAGTTACTTTCCCTGGGTTTTAGGAGTCCCTTTGAGCAGGAGTGTCTGGCCATGTGTGTCAGCAGAGTGGTGGAAAGTTACTCCCCAATTCGGCAAAGTGTCTGGCATCTTACACAGAGAGCTAGCTCCAGAATTTTGGTGCTTTAAAACAAGCAGTGGTTAAAAAAGGCCAAGCTCTTTGTGACACATGAGCTATGAATTCACCTGATCTCACTTGTTTTCCTTCATCTGAGCAGGGTTACCAGTTTCCAAATCTGAGGTGATGTCCCAGCTGGAACGAGGGGAAGAGCTGTGGGTCTCAGATCTCCAGGGGTCTGAGGAAAGCGAGATCCTGAGAGGAACCTTCCCAGGTGAGGAGTCATTAGTCCAACAACTCAGATTCTGTCTGTGCGTGAAGAAAACAGCTGGGATTCCCTACCAAGTCCACGAGAGCAGTTTGAGCTCCGGATTGTCCCCCAGCAGGTGTCATGTCCTCAGGGCAGATATCGCTCATGGCTTCTTTCCCATCCTGAGCGACTCCTGGCAATAGCTCCCTTCCTAACCTCCCTTCATCCTGAGCATTGGGATGGGATGTGGAGACAGAGTTGATTCCCTCCTCTCTGCCCTCTGAGGAAGAGTTTGGGGGAGTTCATGTTCTGATATTTTCTCCCATCTCTCCAGCACTTACCCTTGGTTTCCTCTCCCGATTTCCATTCCTGCTTCTGAGGTTTCTCTCTGTGTGTCAGGCGCTGGTGGGATGGTGAGTGAGAACGGGGAGCAGAATCCACAGCAGGAAGATGCTGAACATGTGGAACCGTGCTGGGAAGTATCACAAAGAACGAAAGGGGACGTGTCCAGGAGTCACGAGAAGAGGCAGCAGGGAAACCAGCCAGGAGAGAAAATGGGCAAATCCATCAATTGTGAGGAAAATCACAAGGACCTCCAGGAAACCACAGCCCAGCAGAGAATCCTCATGGGAGTGAGGAAATACATATGCCCTGAGTGTGGGAGAAACTTCAGTAGACGCTCACACCTCATTCACCATGAGCGAATCCACACGGGAGAGAGACCCTATGAATGCTGTGAGTGTGGGAAAAACTTCACTCGGCGCTCGGACCTTATTAGACACCAGAAAACCCACACAGACGAGAGCCCCTATGAATGTTGTGAGTGCGGGAAAAGCTTCATTTACTGCTCAGACCTGAGGAGACATCAGAGGATCCACAGTAAACAGAGACCCTATGAATGCTGTGAGTGTGGGAAAAGCTTCCATCAGGGGTCACACCTTATTTATCATCAGAGAATGCACCAGGGAGATGAACATCATAAAATCCTTGTCTAGGGCTGGCAAAACATACATTTTTTTTCTTTAATGTTTTTTTGGTACTTCCCACACGTGGCCTTTAAGGCTGTTTAGTTACATTTACGTCATTGTGGTCTCAGCTCCCCCACGTGAGTTGTGCGGTTCTGCTTTTTGCAGCTACCCCTTTTGGGGTGAATCCCCAAAGACCCTTTTTGTCAGCTGCGTTGTTCTATGAGTCGTAGGAGTATGAGTCCCTCTTACTAGGAAAGTGCATCAGCCCCGGGTTGAGGGAACACGAATGACCTCAGTCAGCTGCATTGTGTAAAAATCTACCTGGGCCTTGTCTCCATTAGCATTTTTTGCAGTTAGCCAGCTCGAGTGAGCTATCCAGATGTAAAATCACAACTCTGTTTTCTGTACCAACATGGCCCAAGTACCATAGTCTGTGGATTTTAGAGCAGTTATATTAGTCATCTTTTACACAGAAACCATAATAGTGTCAGAACTGGTGGTCAGCTGTAATCGCTTCCCAAAGACATGGACTGTGTGGGAATCGACTGGGCCCATCCACTGATAGAAGACCGTGTGAGGTTGCTATTCTTAGGAGAAGGGGGAGCAGTGGAGGGGATAATTTGATGGGCTGCTGGTGACCCTGCAGTACCACACAGCAGGGAGGCCTGAGGGGAGTGGGTGTCCGAGTGAGTGACAGGACTAGCTATATCTCTGTCCCCTTCCCAGTATGTCTGAGCCCTCCCACGCACACGTATACAAGGTATCAGCCTCCTGCCTTTCCAGCTCCCAAAGTGGATTTCTGCAATTCTCCCTCTCCTTGACCGGGCTCTGGGTTACCATACCCTGTGTACCAACTGTGCTTACCCCCCAGCTCACGCTGAGTGTAGACACCATTGGGAGCCTGGGATCAGTGGTGTAAAGAGACAAACTCTCCTTTGGTGTGCAGAAGGCTGTTTTATTTTGCGGAGGGGAAAATTATTTTAAAATAACAGTCTTCATGCCTGTGTGTCCGATGGTTAGTGAGGCAGGTCTAAGTTCTTCAGACACCCCAGCAGGGTCGTCTTGTCTCTCTCTTCCCCCAAACAGTCACCAGAACAGCTGTGCCCCTCCCAAGATGGAGTCCCTTTTTTAACTGCCCCAGTCCGTTTGATCTTCTGGTCCTATTCGTCTAAGCCAGGTCTGTACATTTGCTGCAGCTAGGAGGTAGAATACTCAAAGCTAATCGTTCAGACATTGTCTCTTAACAGTCCTTAAGGGTTTACCAAGGTGTGACTTCTCTTGAGCCAGTCATCTTTCCTCTCTGCTTCTTTTTCTGCCAGCCCCCTATTGAAGTAAACCAAAGTGTTCATGCAGTAAATATCCCAGTATCCAGGACAACACACAGCACATTGTTATTACGGAGCCACTCCAGCTCCACCATGGCGGGCTTGGAGAAATAGGACTAAGGGCTTGTCTACTCTTTGAATGCTACTGTAGTAGCACTTCAGTGTAGCCATGAACTAGAGGGATGGGAGGGATTCTCCCATTACCGTAGTCAATCCACCTCCCCAAGTGGTACTAGCTAGGGGTTGCTGGAAGAATTCTCCCATTGACCTAGCATGGTCTGCACTGGGGGTTAGGTCGGCTTAATTGTGTCATTCAGGGGCATGGATTTTTTCACCCCTAAAGAGTGATGGGTCAGTTGCATTTATGAATGGCTTAAGGGACACCAAGTTAAGTGAGGAGGGTGCGGTTAGTGGGTGGGAGGGAGGGGTGGTTTGGGGATCTAGAGCCTGTTGTGAGAGGATCCGTGCCCTGTCCCCGTTGGAGAGCGTGCACTCCGTTCTGATCAGAGTCCATTTTCAGTTCACATATTTTCAAATATGATGATTCTCATTCTTCTCTCCACTGTTCAGGGCCTCCCTCCCTCCCACTGTCTTCCCTACAAACTGTGACCACAGCCTCTGTTCCTCAGTCTTCACAAGGTGACCTATTCCCTGGCATAAATATGCATTTGCTTGGTGACATCATAGGTTGGTAATGAAACTTCTGGGGACTTGGAGGGTCCTGCTCCCCCCCTCCCTATCTGTAGTAGCCACACTCTCTCTTCTCTGTAGACTCCTTGGATCTCTGAGTCGGTCCCTGCTGAGATCCCATGGTCTTATTCTTACTTTTCCAGAGGAATTAGTTTGTTGCTACTGAGTTATAATCATATCTAATTCCTCAACCTCATCCTAGGTACTTAAGGAACTAACTGAGGCAATCTCAGCACCATTAGCAAGTATCGTTGAGAACTCCTGGAGGACAGGTGAGGTCCCAGAGGACTGCTGAAGGGCAAACATTGTTCCCCATTTTAAAGATAGGTAGTAAGGAGACCTGGGGAGTTATAGACCAGTCAGACTAACTTCGATACCTGTAAAGATACTGGAACATGTTTTTAAACAATCAGTTTGTAAGCACCAGGAGGATAATAGTGTTATAAGGAATTGTCAGTATGGATTTGTCCAGAACAAATCATGCCAAACCAACCTCATTTCCTACTTTGACAGAGAGATTGGCCTATGACAGGGGTAATCAATAGGTGGACCGTGGGCCAAATCCGGACCACCAGACACTTTTTAATGGACCCTGAAATCTTTTTATTATTACTAGGGCTGTCAAGCGATTAAAAAAATTATTTGGGATTAATCACGCGATCAAAAAAATTAATTGGGATTGATCATGCTGTAAAACAATAATAGAATACCATTTATTTAAATGTTTTTGGATGATTTCTGTATTTTCAAATATTGATTTCAATTACAAGACAGAATACAAAGTGTACAGTGCTTACTTTATATTCTTGATTACAAATATTTGCACTGTAAAAAAGTATTGTACTGCAATCACTTTACAATGAAAGTTTAACGTACAAATGTAGAATTATGTACAAAAAAAACCCCTGAACTCAAAAATAAAACAATATAAAACTTTAGAGCGTACAAGTCCATTCAGTCTTACTTCTTGTTCAACCAATCGCTAAGAGAAACAAGTTTGTTTACATTTACAGGAGATAATGCTGCCCACTTCTTATTTACAATGTCACCTGCAAGTGAGAACAGGCATTCGCATGGCACTGTTGTAGCTGGAGTCACAAGGTATTTACGTGCCAGATGCACTAAAGATTCATATGTCCCTTCATTCTTCGACCACCATTCCAGAGGACATGCGTCCATGCTGATGATGGTCGATAATGATCCAAAGCAGTGCAGAGTGACACATGTTCATTTTCATCATGTGAGCCAGATGCCACCAGCAGAAGGTTGATTTTCTTTTTTGGTGGTTCAGATTCTGTAGTTTCCTCATTGGAGTGTTGCTCTTTTAAGACTTCTGAAAGCATGCTCCACATCTCGTCCCTCTCAAATTTTGGAAGGCACCTCAGATTCTTAAATCTTCAGTGGAGTGCAGTAGCTATTTTTAGAAACCTCACATTGTTATCTTCTTTGCGTTTTGTCAAATCTGTAGTGAAAGTGTTCTTAAAACAAACGTGCTGAGTCATCATCCGAGACTGCTAGAACATGAAATATATGGCAGAGTGTGGGTAAAACACAGAGCAGGAGACATAAAATTCTCCCCCCAAGGAGTTCAGTCACAAATTTAATTAACATGTTTTTTTAACGAGCATCATCAGCATGGAAGCATGTCCTCTGGAATGCTGGCCGAAGCATGAAGGGGCATATGAATGTTTAGCATATCAGGCACGTAAATACCTTGCAGTGCCAGCTACAAAAGTGCCATGCGAACACCTGTTCTCACTTTCTGATGACATTGTAAATAAGAAGTGGGCAGCATGATCTCCCATAAATGTAAATAAACTTTATCTTCGTGATTGGCTGAACAAGAAGTAGGACTGAATGGATGTGTAAACTCTAAAGTTTTACATTGTTTGGTTTTTGAATGCAGTTGTGAGACCCAAAAACCCTACATTTGTAAGTTGCACTTTCATGATAAAGAGATTGCACTACAGTACTTGTATGAGGTGAACTGAAAAATACTATTTCTTTTATTTATCATTTTTACAGTGCAGATATTTATAATAAAATATAAAGTGAGCAGTGTACACTTTGTATTCTGTGTTGTAATTCAAATCAGTATATTTAAAAATTAGAAAAATATCCAAAAATATTTAATAAATTTCAATTGGTATTCTGTTGTTTAACAGTGTGATTAAAAATGCAATTATTCATGATTAATTTTTTTAATCATGATTAATTTATTTTTTTTTAGTTAATCGTGTGAGTTAACTGATACTAATCGACAGCCTTACTTCTCTTTTTTTTTTTTTATTGTTTTCTTTCAAGTCTGGACCTTGACTATCCCTTGACCAAGATATTTGGACCTTGACAAAAAATAATTAACTACCCCTGGCTTACGGTATTACAGAGAACCTGCAGCTTTGCGATATCTTCATGTTAGTACGTCCTTTGATACGGTCCCACATGCTGTTCTCAGAGGGAAACTAGGGAAATGGAGTCTAGATGAAATTATTACAAAGTGGGCACAAAACTGGTTGAAAGATTGTACTCAATCTGCAGCAAGGGCGATTTAGGTTAGATATTCGGGAAAAACTTGTAACTCAAGGGTAGTTAAGTCCTGGAATAGGATTCTAAGGGAGGCTGTGGAATTCCCATCATTGGAAGTTTTTCAGAACAGCTTAGACAAATACCTATCAGGGATGGGGTCTAGGTTTATTTGGTCCTACCTCAGTGCATGGGCTGGATTAAATGTTCCATTCCTACATTTCTGTGGTTCTGTCACTCTGTAACCTTCTCCATAACACTGGGGGATTTTTGTACTCCTTTCCATTTCACCTGACTCGCTATATTCCCTAACTCCTCAGCATGTGCTTTCCTAATATCCAACACCCCTGACATCCCACACGCAGTGATATCCCCTCTCCTTCCTATTCCTTACTGTGCTGAGCGCCAGTTTCCCTGACTCTCTCATTATCCTTGGGTCTATATGGTAGGAAGCAGTTCCAAGGTGATGTCCCCATGGCTTTCGGTGATGGGCAATTACTTTCCCTGGGTTTTAGGAGCTCCTTTGAACAGGAATCTCTGGTCATGTGTGTGCCAGGACAGCGGTTATTCCCCTTATAGGCAGAGTGTCTGGCACCTTAGAGCACCTGGAGAGCTAGCCACAGAATTTTGGTGCTTTAAAACGAGCAATGGTTAAAAAAAAAAGGCGAGGCTCTTTGTGACACATGTCCCATGAATTCACCTGATCTTATTTGATTCTTTCCTCTGAGCAGGGTTACCAGTATCCAAACCTGAAGTGATGTCCCAGCTGGAACAAGGGGAAAAGCTGTGGGTCTCAGATCTCCAGGGCTCTGAGGAAAGCGAGATCCTGAGAGGAACCTGTCCTGGTGAGGAGTCATCAGAGCAACTCAGATACTGTCTCTGCGTGAAGAAAACCGCTGGGATTCCCTACGAAGCCCTGGAGAGCTCTCTGAGTTCCAGATTGTCCCCCAGCAGGTGTCATGTCCTCAGGGCAGATATCGCTCATGGCTTCCGATCCATCCTGAGCGACTCGTGGCAATAGCTCCCTTCCTAACCTCCCTTCATCTTGAGCGATGGGATGGGAGACAGAATTGACCCCCTCCTCTCTCCCTAATGGGGAAGAGCTTGGGGGAATTCATTTCCTGATATTTCCCCCATCTCTCCAGCACTTACTCTGGTTTCCTCTCCCCTTTTAGTTCAGGTTCTGTTACTTGCACACTCTTGGGTATTCCACCTTTACCATTCCCTGGGCTCAGGGCATAAGCTGGTTAATTTAAGTATCCTCACCCTTACGCAGTTTCTAGGGCTCAGGGCCAGCCTTACGCTGTTCCTAGGGCTCAGGGCATAATCTTCTGCAGGTTTGCAGGGTCTTTTACTAGTGAAAGAGCCTTACACAGTAATATCCTTAACTTCTTTTTATTAACAGTTACCAAAGCAGAACACACACACCAAGCATACAGTGCTCACTACTCCCCATAATCAGATGAACTTTGTCTTGGTGGTCAGCCAGGATCAGGTTGTCTGGGGCTCCTTCAGCTTCTGCACGATATAGTTGGCAGGGTGTTGAGGTTTGGCAGCTCTGATCTTAGGCTGTGCCCTGGAGTTGGTTCCCAAGAAATTCCTGTTGGACCCCAGTTATTATAGTGAAACTTGAGTCCTGCTTAGCTCTACTGTCACCAATCATTGTAAAGTAAAGTCCTGCAAACCAGCATTTTTCACCCGTCCTAGCCCATTACGAAACCACTCTTTACCCAATCAGAGCCCACCACCTGAGCTGATTTAAATCTTGCAAAGTTAGTGATGCAGCAGGCAGAAATGATCAAAGAACCAGGCAGAGACCAGACAGATGAACAATAGAGAAGCAGGGACAATGAAGGCAAAACAATAAAGTATAGATTTCACAACCACATCTGTTAGGGGATTCCTTGCTAGACAGAATGCTGTCAACATTTTCTTTACATTTCTTACGATCTGTTTCTCTATCTGGTGATGGTGGGCACTGTTACGACAGGAGCCTCCTCAACAGCCCAATATTACATTGTTTTGATACAATTTAGAGGGAATGTGAGGCTGTGACTTCCTGCTGCTTAGCTCATGGCTGCTGCTGTCCTAATGTGGCTGCAGAAAAGTCCTGAGACATCAAGTTTCTCTCTGTGTGTCAGGCGCTGGTGGGATGGTGAGTGAGAACGGGGAGCAGAATCCACAGCAGGACGATGCTGAACATGTGGAACCGTGCTGGGAAGTATCACAAAGAACGAAAGGGGACGTGTCCAGGAGTCACGAGAAGAGGCAGCAGGGAAACCAGCCAGGAGAGAAAATGGACAAATCCATCAATTGTGAGGAAAATCACAAGGACCTCCAGGAAACCACAGCCCAGCAGAGAATCCTCATGGGAGAGAGGAAACACATTTGCCCTGAGTGCGGGAGAAACTTCAGTAGACGCTCACACCTCATTCACCATGAGCGAATCCACACGGGAGAGAGACCCTATGAATGCTGTGAGTGTGGGAAAAACTTCACTCGGCGCTCGGACCTTATTAGACACCAGAAAACCCACACATGCGAAAGCCCCTATGAATGTTGTGAGTGTGGGAAAGCCTTCATTTACTGCTCAGACCTGAGGAGACATCAGAGGATCCATACAGGACAGAGACCCTATGAATGCTGTGAGTTGGGAAACGCTTCCATCAGGGGTCACACCTTATTTATCATCAGAGAATCCACCAGGGAGATAAACACAATAAAATCCTTGACTAGGGCTGGCAAAACATATTTTTTCTCTAATATTAATGATGATTCCCACATGTGGCCCTTAAGGCTGTTAGTGCCATTTACGTCATTGTGATCTCAGCTCCCCCAGGTGAGTTGTGCGGTTCTGCTTTTTGCAGCTAATCCTGCTTCTTCGATACCTGGAAAGAGACTGGACCATATTGTTAAACATTCTCTTTGTAAGCACCTGGAGGATAAAAGCTTTATAAGAATAGTCAGCATGGATTTGTCAAGAACAAATCAAGCCAAACCAATCTGATTTCCTACTTTGACAGGGAGATTGGCCTATAGTATTTCAGGGAAGCAGTGGATTTGCTATATCTTCATTTTAGTACCTCCTTTGACACAGTCCCACCTGCCGTTCTCATAGGGAAATGGGGTCTAGATTAAATTATTATAAAGTGAGCACACAAAACTGGTTGAAAGATCAAACTCAATCTTAGGGCTTGGCTACGTTTGCAAGTTAGAGCGCATTAAAGCAGCCTCGGGCGCCCTAACTCCCGATGTGTCCACATTGGCAAGGCCCATAGAGCGCCTGGACTCTGCAGCTGGAGTGATCCTGGTAATCCACCTCCACGAGAAGCATAAAGCTTGCTGCTTCCCGGCTGAAAGGCCCGGGCATTAGTGTGAATGAGGTGTTGCATTACTGCGCTGTGACTGGCCTCCGGAAACGTCCCATAATCCCCTGAAGTCAAGAGGCCACTCTGCTCATTGTTTTGAAAGCTCTGTTTCGGACAGCTAGCATGCTTATCTGCTCCGGGACAAAGCAAGCCATTAGTGTGGAATGCTGCTGTTGTGAGTGGGGTGGGAGGGGAGAGTGGTCTGCTGCTGTCTGAACTTACCAGACAGCAGGCTGACATGCTCTCAGCCCCCCAAAACACACTCCCCGTCACACTCCCCCTCCCCACCCGCCATTTGAAAAGCGCAGCCAATTGCACACTGGGATAGCTGCCACAATGCACTGCTCTTTGTGGCATTGCCAGGGCTGCTCATGTGGCCACGCCAGTGTGCTTGCAGCTGACAGTGTAAACACACGGCAGCGTTTTCCCTGCTGCGGTCTCTGAAGCCTGGTTTAACTCCCAGCGCTCTACATCTGCAAGTGTAGCCATGCCCTTAAACTGCATCAAGGGCGATTTAGGTTAGATATTAGGGAAAAACTTGTAAGTGCAAGGGTAGTTAAGCTCTGAAATATACTTCCAAAGGAGGTTGTGGAATCCCCATCATTGGAAGGTTTTAAGAACAGCTTAGACAAATACCTATCAGGCATTGTCAGGGTGTACTTGGTCCTGCCTCAGTGCATGGGCTGGATTAAATGATTTTCCAGCCCAACATTTCTGTGGTTCCATCATTCTGTAATTTTCTCCGTACACTGGTGGATTTTCATATTCCCCCCCCCCCCCATTACACCTGACTCACTATATTCCCTAACTCCTCAGCATGTGCCTTCTTGATACCCAACATCCCTGACATCCCACACGCAGTGCTGTCCCCTCTCCTTCCTATTCCTTACTGTGCTGAGCCCCAGCAGCCCGTTTCCCTGCCTCCCTCATTATCCTTGGGTCTCTATCGGTAGGAAGCAGTTCCAAGGTGATGTCCCCATGGCTTTCAGTGATGTGGAGTTACTTTCCCTGGGTTTTAGGAGCCCCTTTGAGCAGGAATCTCTGGTCATGTGTGTGCCAGGACAGCAGTTATTCCCTTTATAGGCAGAGTGTCTGGCACCTTAGAGCACCTGGAGAGCTAGCCACAGAATTTTGGTTCTTTAAAATGATCAATGGTTAAAAAAAGGCCAGGCTCTTTGTGACAAATGTCCCATGAAGTCACTTGATCTCATTTGATTCTTTCCTCTGAGCAGGGATACCAGTTTCCAAACCTGAGGTTATGGCCCAGCTGGAACGAGGGGAAGAGCTGTGGGTCTCAGATCTCCAGGGGTCTGAGGAAAGCGAGATCCTGAGAGGAACCTTCCCAGGTGAGGAGTCATTAGTCCAACAACTCAGATTCTGTCTGTGCGTGAAGAAAACAGCTGGGATTCCCTACCAAGTCCATGAGAGCAGTTTGAGCTCCGGATTGTCCCCCAGCAGGTGTCATGTCCTCAGGGCAGATATCGCTCATGGCTTCTTTCCCATCCTGAGCGACTCCTGGCAATAGCTCCCTTCCTAACCTCCCTTCATCCTGAGCATTGGGATGGGATGTGGAGACAGAGTTGATTCCCTCCTCTCTGCCCTCTGAGGAAGAGTTTGGGGGAGTTCATGTTCTGATATTTTCTCCCATCTCTCCAGCACTTACCCTTGGTTTCCTCTCCCGATTTTCATTCCTGCTTCTGAGGTTTCTCTCTGTGTGTCAGGCGCTGGTGGGATGGTGAGTGAGAACGGGGAGCAGAATCCACAGCAGGACGATGCTGAACATGTGGAACCGTGCTGGGAAGTATCACAAAGAACGAAAGGGGATGTGTCCAGGAGTCACGAGAAGAGGCAGCAGGGAAACCAGCCAGGAGAGAAAATGGGCAAATCCATCAATTGTGAGGAAAATCACAAGGACCTCCAGGAAACCACAGCCCAGCAGAGAATCCTCATGGGAGAGAGGAAACACATTTGCCCTGAGTGCGGGAAAAACTTCAGAAGTCGCTCACACCTTATTAACCATGAGCGAATCCACACAGGAGAGAGACCCTATAAATGCTGTGAGTGTGGGAAAAACTTCATTCGACGCTCACACCTTATTAGACACCAGAGGATCCACACCGGTGAGCGACCCTATGAATGTTTTGAGTGCAGGAAAACCTTCATTTACTGCTCAGACCTTAGAAGACATCAGAGGATCCACACAGGACAGAGACCTTATGCATGCTGTGAGTGCGGGAAAAGCTTCCATCAGGGGTCACACCTTATTTATCATCAGAGAATCCACCAGGGAGATAAACATCATAAAATCCTTGTCTAGGGCTGGCAAAACATACATTTTTTCTTTAATATTTTTGGTACTTCCCACACGTGGCCTTTAAGGCTGTTTGTGCCATTTACGTCACTGTGGTCTCAGCTCCCCCAGGTGAGTTGTGTGGTTCTGCTTTTTGCAGCTACCCCTTGTGGGGTGAATCCCCAAGGACCCTTTCTGCCAGCTGCTTTGTTCTGAGTCATGGGAGTATGAGTCCATCTTACTAGGAATGTGCATCAGGCCCAGGGGAGGGAAACACAAAAGACCTCAGTTAGCTGCATTATGTTAAAATCTACCGGGGCCTTGTCTCCATTAGCACTTTTTGTAGTTAACCAGCATGAGTGAGCTATCCAGATGGAAAACCACAACTCTGTTTTCTGTACTAACATGGCCCAAGTACAATAGTGTGGGTTAGCTAGCACTTTCCCCCTCAACCTGTCCTAATCTCCTTCACTTTTCCTAGTCTAGAGAAACCATTATCATGATGGTAAAGCTTTTGTAAAATAACACAACTCAGTAACGAGACAGTGCCGAGTGAATCAGGTTTCAGTGGATCAGAGGAGAATGCAACGGGAAAATCGGTGGTTCTCATTCTGAGTCATCAGATGTAACCTGCTCTAGAATTTCATTCCATCTGAAATTGAAAATGTCTTATACCTCTGTGAGCAGGGTCGGATTTCCAACTACGCACACCAGGCAGGTTGCCAAGTATGTGATTTTCTAGCCCAAATGGGCTATTTTTAGCTGTCAGTTGCCAGGGTTTTTAGCAGTTGCAAGTTGCAGTATTTTGGGCTATTTTGCTGCCCTGCTGCCACTGGCTACACTGCTCAGGAGGGAGGGAGCCTCCTGATCCGTCCTGTTCCTTGCCGAGATGCCCCACACACTGCTTGTCTCACGTCGTGCCACCTCCCCTTGGGTGACATTTGCAGCATGTGCAGCATTCTTGTCCGAGGGAGAAAATTTTTTTTCTGCACAAATGTGCTGCAGTTCTGCCTTTCGCCCACCAGGGGCCACAGTGGTGCCAGAACAGCCTGAGCTGGCTGCGGCTGACTGGTCGGGCTGGTGGCGGCAAAGAGCCGGCAGGCGGGTGGGGGGGTTATCCGGGCAGCCGCCTTCTTGGAGCCAGGTTAGGAGGCAGAGCTGGCCACACAGGGCTGCTGGGGGGGGGGTGTCACAGGACCCCATGGGGCCGCTTAAGATGCTGTCCCAAGGGGCACAAAAGGTGTAAATCTGGCCCTGGTTTTTCTCTCTTTCCTGAAGGCGGTTTGGTCACACAACTGGATATTACTTTTCTGTGGCAGAATGCAGTTCAGATTTATTGGGGACATTGAGGCAAATGACCAGTTGCTTCAATAGTCATTTCTTCCTTTTTTTTTTCCTCCACCCTTCCATGATGACATGGGGAAAGTTCATAGAATCATAGAATATAAGGGTTGGAAGGGACCCCTGAAGGTCATCTAGTCCAACCCCCTGCTCGAAGCAGGACCAAATCCCAGTTAAATCATCCCAGCCAGGGCTTTGTCAAGCCTGACCTTAAAAACCTCTAAGGAAGGAGATTCTACCACCTCCCTAGGTAACGCATTCCAGTGTTTCACCACCCTCTTAGTGAAAAAGTTTTTCCTAATATCCAATCTAAACCTCCCCCACTGCAACTTGAGACCATTACTCCTCGTTCTGTCATCTGCTACCATTGAGAACAGTCTAGAGCCATCCTCTTTGGAACCCCCTTTCAGGTAGTTGAAAGCAGCTATCAAATCCCCCCTCATTCTTCTCTTCTGCAGGCTAAACAATCCCAGCTCCCTCAGCCTCTCCTCATAAGTCATGTGTTCTAGACCCCTAATCATTTTTGTTGCCCTTTGCTGGACTCTCTCCAATTTATCCACATCCTTCTTGTAGTGTGGGGCCCAAAACCGGACACAGTACTCCAGATGAGGCCTCACCAATGTCGAATAGAGGGGAACGATCACGTCCCTCGATCTGCTCGCTATGCCCCTACTTATACATCCCAAAATGCCATTGGCCTTCTTGGCAACAAGGGCACACTGCTGACTCATATCTAGCTTCTCGTCCACTGTCACCCCTAGGTCCTTTTCCGCAGAAACAAACGCAGCTCAGTCAACAGGAGCGAATACTCCCAGTTCTGGGATACGCTACCAAGGAAACGGGAGTGGTTTGAAATCTCCAGTGGCGAACAACAGCACACCCCAAACTCTGCAACTAACTGGGTATCATCGCAGCGTTGTTCAATTATTTAAGTCAGTATTATCTCAGATAATGCAAGGAGAGAGTGCCACAGTAAGGGACTTGGAACTAGGCAAAATGCCCATGAATTTGATTCCCAACACAGGAAGTTACTCCTGAAGATATCTCCTAGCTAATCCTAATATTTGGGAAATACTGCCTTTAGCTATGCAGATGTGGAGGAAATAGAATTGATGTTTTTGTTGAATTCACCCTTTGTAATGCTGCAAATGTGTATAAAATGAAATCGATGTTGAATGTGAGACAGCTGAAGAAAAATAACTCTTTTTGAATAGAAACCAGCCTCTTGTACCATCCAATGATTCTCACCAAGCCTATATCTAGTTTCTAATTTAGACCTGTGCTATCAGATTAAAGAAGTAAACTGGGCATGTTTGAGGAAGTCATTCCTCACTAGCACAGCTGAGATTTCAGGTGGGTTGGTAAAGGATTCTTCTCCAGAGAAATGTAAATTTGTCCTCCTCAAGACCAAGGACTTGGCAGGAACTCAGAAACCACAGGCACCTAATTGCTGGTTTTCAGCACAGAGATGAAAGCTATGGTGAGCTATGGTCCAGCAGAAATGTGTTTAGAACACAATTTCCTAGTTCCGTGGCATTGATTAGAGTCCCAACAGATGCCAGTTAGTTTGAGAACAATTGTCCTTTACCATATGAATCCAGAGTTTTATGAGGCAAAGAAAAAGAGTTGATGCCTTTGGAGGACATTCCCTCCTCAGCAGGGCCGGTGCAACCACTAGGTGAACTAGGCGGTCGCCTAGGGCGCCAAGTGGTTGGGGGCAGCTCAAAGCGCACTCCGGGGAGGCGGTGGAGCGGAGGTGAGCTGGGGCAGAGGGGCGCAGGGAGGGCCGCCTGCAGTAAGTAATGGGGGGAGGGTGGCGCACATGGGAACCGCTCCCCGACCCAGCTCACCTCTGCTCCGCCTCCTCCTCTGAGCGCACTGCCCTTCTCTGCTTCTCTCCCTCCCCGGCTTGCGCGCCAAACAGCTGATTGGCGCCGCAAGCCTGGGAGGCGGGAGAAGCGGCGGCGTGCTCGGGGAGGAGGCGGAGCAGAAGTGAGTTGGGATGGGGAGTTGCCGCACGGCTCCCCGCGCTGAGGGGAATTGCTGAACGGTTCCCCGGGGGGAGAGGGGGTGGCGGGGAGCTGCCGCAGGGGGGGCGCCTCACGGCGGAGGGGAGCTGCCCCAGTGGGGGCGCTTCAGGGCGGAGAGGGGGCGGTGGGGAGCTGCCATGGGGGGGCGCCTCAGGGCAGAAGGGGGGCGCCGGGTAACTGCTGCGGAGGGGGGGCGTTTCAGGGCGGAGGCGGGGCGGCGGGGAGATGCTGCAGAGGGGGCGCCTCAGGGCGGAGGGGGGGTGCAAGGTGGAAGTTTCGCCTAGGGCGCAAAACATCCTTGCACTGGCCCTGTTCCTCAGAAGGATCCCAATCTGGCTGCCTTCTTGGACAATAAGCACTTTCCTTCTGTGCAAGTGATAGTAACCCATGAAGTAATGCGTGGGTCAAGCTCCAAGTTCAGACTGCAGGATATTTGAATATTGAGTCCTGATTCTATGCTTTGGTGTCTTGGTTTTGGTCTTGTGTTTTATGCCTTTGCATCGCGTCTCCATCTCCTGCTACTTTGAAAGATTAAAATGTGTGGAAATAGAAAAGAAGGTTTTTTTCATGTTGCAAACCTTGCCACATAGTGTGAGACCCCTTCCACCAACACTTATGGCAGAAGAGCCATAAATAAATTAACTTCCAGAAATGGAAGGCACCTATATGGGTGTGAAACCTTCTGTAAAATTATGGTTTACTTGGTGGAAATCGGTGTTAAATTAAAAGAAAGTAACATATAAGATTTTTGTTACCAGTAAGAATGAAATTAAACATGAAGTTAATTATTTGTTAACCAACAAGAGACTAATTATGTGATGACTCTCAGCTTTCCAATATAATTCTGATTTATGTTGTTTTCTTTTTATTGGTAATATAGGAAATGGTGGCTAATCCTTAAAGGCTTGTTTGGTGTATTTTACTCCCTTCTGACTAAGGAATTCTGAAATAAAACTTTACTCCAAAGGTTGCGGTGCTAGAATAGGTAAGAGAAATAAGGTATCTGAGAATACTGATCAGTATAGACATGAATTATTTCCATTTCAAATGGAATTTATTCTGACAAGCTTTAAAGTCAAATTTCTGTTAAGAGGAAAACTACTCAAGAAGACAAGTTTTTTTTACTGGTTAGACTGTAAGGGTCACTTAGTTCCGCACTTCTCTTGTGAGCAAAGGAAAGACATGACTTTTGTGATGATTATGTCCATATTTATTTATAAGAAAGATGTATGCATTTTTTTTATTTTATTTTTTTTGTTGTTAAAAACTTCTGCAATCCAGACCCCTTTTCATTTTGAGAAGGCCACCAATTAAAGCCTGGCCATTGACTCCTTAGGCCAGGCTATGCAGACCTCCTCAAAACTGGCCTTGCTTTTCTTTCATTTTTATCTTTGGGATTCACATCCACGTTGAAGAACGGCTATTTTAAGAAAACTACTGGATTAAGGGAGAATTTTCCAAAATGATGTTAACCCAAAGTGTGCCTCATTCCAACTGGATGGGGTCATGATGTCAGTATCCAAGGCAGACCTCACCCCCAAGCAGGGCTGGATTAACTTTTTGTGGGCCCAGCGCCAAACATATTTGTGGGCTCCCCGGAGGAATGATTGTAAAAGGGTCAGGGGGAAAAAGCACAGTGGGGTGGGAGCTAGGGTTCGTCCCTGGAGTAAGAGAGGGACCAGGAGTAAACTGCAAGTGCAGCAGGGCTGGGGCTGGGGTAAACAGGACACCCCCCCGCCCCGGCCCACATACAGCGGGTACCTACCCAGTTCTAGCCCATTCTCTTCAGCTCTCTCTGCACTGAGCTGCCCCTTCTCCCGCAGGAGCAGGACAGGTTCTCTTCCAGCCCTCTGGGGTGGGTGTTGGGAGTGGGATGAGCGGAGCTAATAGTGGTTACTCCTATAACCGGACTTTTAGTTTCCAGTCAGCACTGCTAACCGGACACTCAGGTCCCATTTTCTACTGGAGTTCCCAGTCTGAAACTGGATTCTTGGCAACAGGGCTGCCAGGAAAGCCTGAGGGGGGGGAGGAGCAAGCAATCATTTTTAAAAGTGAGAGGGCTAAGCTGGGGGGTGGGGGGTGGGCTGGGGGTGGAGAGGAGCTAGTGGGCAGGGCCATGTCTGCTGTACTGCCCAGGTAGGTTGGAGACTGGGGATCAGCTGACACAGTACCCCCCCGCCCAGGTGACGTGACAGCCAGTGGCGGATTTAGAGTGAGTGGGGCCCCTGGCCCTGTGCTCAGCTTCATTTTTGGGGCCTCTCCTTGGGACCCAGCCAAGAAAAAGAACATTCGCTGTTATCTCCTCCTGCCCTCGTTTTTCATTCTTTTTTTCTTCATCCTCCTCCTATAAGTAACAGGAAGTAAATGACAGTAAAGTGAGGTACCTTGATTGTTCTTGTCGTCCAGCTTATTTTCCCGCAGACCACTTGAAAATTGCGGAGGGTCTCGACGCACCACGTAATGATCTCTCCAAATATCGTTTGTGCCATTAGCTAACCATTGTAGGCGCTTTGGATAAGAGCATTTTATAAAAAAACTTATAAAAACAGTTGGGGTGCAGGGTCTAGCCAGGAGCTAGGGTGAGGGAGGGGGCTCAGGGCTGGGGCAGGAGGTTGGGGTGTGGAGCGCTTACCTGGGGCAGCTCCCATTTGGTGTGAGGGGTGCAGGTGGGAATGTGGGGGTGTGTGTGCAGGAGCTCCCATTTGGTGTGAGGGGTGGGGAGGTGCAGGAGTCAGGGCATGGGTTGGGCGGGGGCTAGGGAGGTGTGGGGTGGGTGCAGGAGTCAGGGCAGGGGGCTGGGGAGGTGTGAGGGGTTGCAGGGTTCAGGGTGGGCAGGGGGTGTGGGCTGGGGTCGTGGGGGTACTCACGGCAGGGGGCTGGAGGGGTATACCCTGATTCCACCCCCTTCCCCAAGGCTCTGCCCCCGCGTCTTCTCCTCCTGCTCCCCGGAGCAGCGAGCTGCTGCAGCTGATCCGCAATAGGGAGCAGGAGGGGCGGGAACATGGCACGCTGGGGGAAGAGGCGGGGAAGGAGCTTGGCTGCCGGCGGAGCGGGCCCTGCTGCAGCAGGAGCCCCAGGAGCAGGGTGTAGTGTAGTCAAGTGCTCCACGTAGGACTGTGCTACTGGTAGCAGTCACCGATACATAAAAGATCGTAAGAAACTGCGATTGTCGTAAACTGCCGCCCGATGTAGCAAATGCCTACAGGGAGCAGTTTCTTGCACTATGGTGTATGTGAAATTGCTACATGTAGAAATGTGCTATCTGTAGCAGTTATTTATACATGTAGATTGTAAGAAACAGCTTTTGAATAAAGATGCTACTTCCCTCAGGTCATGTTTTCTAGACCTTAAATTTTTTTTTCTCTTCTCTGGACTCTCTCCAATTTGTCCACATCTTTCCTGAAGTGTGGCACCCAGAACTGGACACAATACTCCAGCTGAGGCCTAATCAGTGCAGAGTAGAGCGGACATCCCAGAGTGATGTTCTGTTTTTTTGCAGCAGCCTTATACTGTTCACTCATATTCAGCTTGTGGTCCTCTATGACCCCCAGATACCTTTCTGCAGTACTCCTTCCCAGCTTGTTATCATTCACAAATTTTATAATTGTACTCTCTCGGCCATTATCTCAATCACTGATTAAGATTTTGACAGGTTTCAGAGTAGCAGCCGTGTTAGTCTGAATCCGCAAAAAGAAAAGGAGGACTTGTGGCACCTTAGAGACTAACAAATTTATTTGAGCATTTTGAATAGAAACTTACCCAGAACTGATCCCTGAAGAACCCCACTCATTATGCCCTTTCAGCCTGTGAATCACTGATAACTACTGTTAAACTGTTTTCCAGAGCTAATTTTGCACCCATCGCATTTTAGCTCCATCTAGGTTGCATTTCCATAGTTTGTTTATGAGAAGGTCATGGGAGACAGTATCAAAAGCCTTACTAAAGGCAAGATAGACCATGTCAACCACTTTCCCCCATCCACAAGGCTTGTTACACTGTTAAAGAAAGCTATCCGTTTAGTTTTACATGTGAGACAGCTTGAATTAGCTACATCAGATCGATGTCCTTTGTTAGCAAAATAGGACTTGTCGCTGCTGCCCGTAGCCCGGTCCTACAGATAGCATTTCCATACACACGTATATGTATGAATAAGAAACTGCAATCTTGCTACCTGTAACACTGCAATCTGATGAAGCTAATTCCTACAGATAGCAGTTTCTCACACCATAGGTATGTAAGACTGCTATCTGTAGGAATTAGCTACATCAGATGTCCTTTGTTAGCATAGTAGGGCCTGCCACTGCTGCAGGTAGCCCAGTCCTACAGATTGCAGTTTTACACATGTGTGTGAAAATGCTATCTGTAGGGATGTGCTACCTGTAGCAGAGAGATAGTGAATTCTTACCATTAGCAGTTCCTGAGAGCTGCGAAGGGCTGTACCTGTTGGCCTTGTGGTGTTGTGAACAACAATTAGCTATTATGCGAACAGAAAGGGAGATGGACTGGGTACAAGCTAAAGATATGACAGTTTTAACTCTGCTGACAAAACATGAAAATAGCCTTTTCCTTCCATATGTGTCTGGGTGGTACAAGGCCCTGGACTCTAATGTATGCACATTCCTTAGGTAATCTTTGGGATGAGGTAGATGAGGCTTTCTTCTGGCAGCTCACGGAAGCTACTAGATCACATGCCCTGATTCTCATGGGTGACTTTAATTTTCCTGATATCTGCTGGGAGAGCAATACAGCGGTGCATAGACAATCCAGGAAGTTTTTGGAAAGCGTAGGGGACAATTTCCTGGCGCAAGTGCTAGAGGAGCCAACTGGGGGGGGCGCTTTTCTTGACCTGCTGCTCACAAACCGGGTAGAATTAGTGGGGGAAGCAAAAGTGGATGGGAATCTGGGAGGCAGTGACCATGAGTTGGTTGAGTTCAGGATCCTGACGCAGGGAAGAAAGGTAAGCAGCAGGATACGGACCCTGGACTTCAGAAAAGCAGACTTCGACTCCCTCAGGGAACGGATGGCCA